CCCTCTCTGTCTCTTTCTTTTTCTTTCTTTTTCTCTCTCTCTCTCTCTCTCTTTTTTTTCCAGATAGGGTTTCTCTGTATAACAGGCCTGGCTGTCCTGGTACTCAATTTGTAGACAAGGCTGGCCTCAAACTCACGGAGATCCATCTGCCTCCACCTCCCCTGGGAGCTGGGATTAAGGGTGTGCACCTTCACACTGGACATCTTTTGTTTGTTTGTTGAGACAGTATTCTGTCATTGAGTCTGAAGCTCTTTAGTTTGTTTAGGGTAGATAACAAGCTTCAGATCTGTCTGCTACACCCCTTTCCAGCCCTGGAGTTGCAGACACACAGTGTGGCTCCACCCCTTTCCAGCCCTGGAGCTGCAGGCACACAGTGTGGCTCCACCCCTTTCCAGCCCTGGAGCTGCAGACACACAGTGTGGCTCCCAGCCCGGATGGGTGCTGGAGATCTGAACACAAGTCTTCATGTTTTTGTAGCAGGCACAGGATAAACTCAGCTATCTCTCCAGCCCTGGGTTACTTCTTAAGCATGCCTTTAAGGTGTGCTGACATATCCTGGGTGTCAGTTGTGCCGTCCTTTTTTCCTCCTCAATCCAGCAGCACTGCTTTCAGCAGAAGGGGCTCCACACCAGTGTGACCAGAGTGCTACAGTACTTTGGATTCCTTAGTCTTTGAATCTGTCAGAAGCAAGAACACCACTGAGCATGGAATTCTTCTGGGGGGAGGGGAGCTCAAAACATTCACCTTCATGAACCAGGAGACAAAATCAAATCCTTGCTTTAAAGACCCTGGCCAGCCCCTCTTAGCCTAACTATAGCCTATTCAAGTAGTTCAACCAGAGGGGTGTTACTGATGACTGCTGATATGCAGTACTAGCCAAGGCTGACATCTCAGGTAAGATGTCCTGTGCTCATCTGTGCATGTCAGTTCTCCATCACTAAGCTAAGGTGGTACCCCAGAACTACTGGGGCCATTGTTGCTTTATTCTCATCACGGTGCTTCCCCAGCAGCTTTACTATTATAGAGCAGGAACCATTTTTGCATTGTTGGAGGCTGCATTCTGAGTATCTCAAATATGTGTTCAATAAATTAATCAATACTTCTATATTCCATTTGCTGGAACAAGAAAACTAAGATGTGGCTTGTCCAGATTTAATTAGCAGTTACTGTGAAGTATCATTGTTTCATTTTGGTAGTGTGGTGTGTGCTGATCCTTATTGCTATGCATGGCTCTAAACACTTGCCAATATTTCTGTGCAGGTGATGTCAGGGGCTTCTGATACGGTCAGGAGTCACCAGGAGCTCTCAAGTAAAGGAGGCGGCAAGAGGGACCTTACCACAAAATCCCCTTAAGGTGTGACTGAGTGTTGAAATCTATGCAAGCTCTGGCCTTTAGGTCCTCTCTCCTGCCCTTTGCTGGGTAAAGCCACCTTGGGCTTTCAAAACTGATTGTGCTCTAGTCAGAGTCCTATGGTGATTACTGAGAACATATCCCAAATTTTCTAAAATGCATACTTTTTCAAGTACTTGCTCATAATGGCGCTAATTTTTAAGGTCAAATTAAGTGACATCATGCTTATTATTCTCTGCGATTTCTGATAGCACTGCAGAAAGAGTTGGGAGTCAGAGGCATCTTTTCACCAGAACAAACTTTAAAGTGCTGTGTGCGGGAAAATGGATGGCTCCCTCTGGCTCTCTGGTTTCCTTACAAATGAGGAGCTCTAGATAGATGTCCAAAGCTTACTAAAGGGAAGCATACCAGGACTCGGGGCAGGGATCTCTGGTCTGGGTCAGGACAGTACCGTTAGCAGTAGGTTAGAAAATAGTTACCACTGCCCACACTGCTGCTAAGGACCCAGAAACTGCTCTTGGGTTAAGAGTGTTTGGGATTTGGAATTGACCCTCTTTTGAATTACCAACCCCAACCCTGCTCTGCTAAAATATAGGCACTAAACTACATCACATATTAAATACTGATAACTACTGAGATTTTGACTAGTGTTGGAAAGACAAAAGCCATAGTTGTGGGTAAGAAGATATTAATTTAAAACAGTCTCAGAGCAACAGTGAAGCTCTTAGGTCCACACCGCCCGTGGGTTTCAGGCAGACTTGTAAACTTAGAGACTCGCTGACTTCTCAGTAGCTGCTCCCTAACAACCCCAGATTCCCCTCTCCTAAACCCCTTAGTACCCTGGGACTAAAGAAGCCTCAGTGTTTCCCTCAGGCCATAGCGTTTGTAGGTATTTGTTTACTTTTTACCACCATGGCTTCTCACTCAGTAGTGGCTGTTCATTAGCCTAGCAGAACATCACAACTGTCTCCTAGGGAAAGTAGACATGCTTGTCCCGTTTTCAAGATACAACTCTGAGGGCTCAAGCGATCACTTAAGGGTTATATGGTGAGTCCCAGGCAGAGCCTGCACCAACATCCCAAACTTGACCCTTTTTCTGCAACACCTCACAACTTTGTGGGATCCCAAAATGTCTGATACGCTATGAACTTAGAAGTTTAAGTCAGGGTATTGTCTCAAGAAGGTCTGGATGCAGGCTTAAGGTAGTGATGAGTTTGAAGTAGGTGGATGTACCAAGACTGTCCTGGCCATGATTGGATACCAAAGGAACAGCTAGACCTCCAAGGCCAGGGCTGATCCACAACCTAGAGTTAGATATGAATTTGCCCTCCATGAAAGGAATAGCAGTCAGTCAGTATTCTCCCTGAACATAACAAGTGTAGTAACTTTTATATCTAATAGAAGGAGCTTACATGCCATCAACTGCCATAGACTTTAAGGGCTTTGACAAAGGTCTAACAATTTATGAAGGCACTTTGCATCCAAATCAATCTACTTGATGCATGTTAAATAATTGATTCATAACGGTCAGATGTGCTAGGATTGGTACCATCTATTCTCTATGTTTGTTTGTTTGTTTGAGACAGGGTCTTACTATGTAGCCTCAGTAGGCCTGGAACTTGCTATGTAGATAAGGTTCATTTTGAATTCACGGAAATCCTCTTGCCTCTGCCTCCCGAATGCTGGGATTAAAAGTGTGTGCCACCACACCCAACTTGTCCTTTGAGATAAAGAAAGCTTCTAGAAGACTCACTTTAAGGGACCAGTGTAAAATAAAAACTTCACATATCTCCTCTGTCTGCTTGGCCTGACCATCTAGCCTGACCTCATGGAAGACTCCTTCTATGTTCCAAAAGACATCTCCATTCTACTGGCACACACATCACACTCTCTTTGTTTCTGAAACTGTTCTAATGGAGGCAAGAAAAGGACTCTCCTTTACTGATCTCTTCCCATGCCTAGCACTGAGCTAAGCAACTTCAAGAACATGATGCCCACTGTCTCTAGAGTCCTGGGAGAGGTTCATTTCATAGACAAGGGAAGAAAAGCTGGAAGGTCATAGACTGAAATTCCGAGTAGGTCTTCAAAAATCTCCAATCCTCAAAATGTTGTGGACTCTAAAATAAGATCGGTCTCTTTGAGCTTTGGGTCTTGTTGTCTATGAGAGCCGAGGGGGAGTTTAGCATCTCCAACCTCTTTTTTCCGACAGCACTGAGGTGGGTAAAAGAAGGCTGAGTCTCAAGGGCTCCTCACCGGAGGAAGAAAGCTTCCAGGGGACAGGAAGCAGGCCTGGCGGGTAGCTGAGTCCAGGAGAGGTGGAGCTGATGGCAGAAGCCATCCCAACCAGCACAGCGACACTGCAGAGTCCTACCTACCCTGTATTCCCAGGGCATAGAACCGGTCTCCTCCGCTCCACACAGCGGGAGGTACTGGAGGCTGGAGGCCGCACCTGGGAGCTCAGGAAGGCGGGTGAGTGACAGACCCGGCGGAAGCGGGAGGGGCTGTTCGGGAGCGATGCTAGTCCCCAGTAATGGAAGGGGCTGGGCTATCCACGTGACTGCAAGGAGGCGGAGATAGGCAAGCCGGAGAGCAGACTGGCAGGCGCTGGAGGGTTGCGGAGGGGTTTAGATCTGAATAATTGAGGAGCGATTCAGCAGCAGCCGCTGCCTCCTCTCTGCCTTTACCACCACCACCGCCCGCATCTCAGCTGGAAGTGCAGATCGCCGGCCATCAGCTTCCAGACCATCACCTCCAGCCTCTCTGGTGAGTGGATGCCCCCCTTCACCACAGGCTGTGCCCCCTGTGCAGCCCCTGGCTTCCCGCGACTCAGATGAACCAGCGAGCCCCAGGCACCCGAAGGGAGGAAGCGGGAACATGGCGCGGAGGTGGAGGGCGACCTATGGGAAGGGGTCTCTGGAGGAAAGAAGGAGCGAGGTCAGGGTCGCGCGGGCTCCGGCAGGGAATGGGGCCCCGGTAGCGTCCGCGATGTGGGGACGCGCGGGAGCGGGCAGGCGGGGCGCGGGCTGGCGCAGCCTCCGCCGAGGCGGGAGCGCGAGGCTGAGATGCTGGGAGTCCCGGCCACCCGGGTCTCCGCAGCCGCGGGGCCCACACTGTCCTCCAAGCCTGTGCGCGCACCTGACTGGGGTAATTGGGCTCTCGGCCTGGGACTGAGCCCTTGGAAAAAGAAGAGATGGTTTCCTGGCGGGCCGCAGTCCCAGAGGAAGGCGGGGACAGCAATCTGTCCTTTTACCTGAGCAAAACTCTTCAAAGGGACTCCAGAGGAGCCCGACGCCCCGACTAGGCTGGTGCGCCACGGGGAGCATCTGTCCCCAGCCAACCGGGACACCGTGAGGCGATGAGAAGGATGTGACGGGAGAGGTATCCGGGTACGTTGCTGCCCAGCGGCTTTCAAGAGGACTCTCGCCCGAGCTGTTTCGCCTGTTTAGTCTGGCCTTTCCCCCAGCCCCAAAGCACATTCAGTCCCCCACGAATTCCGAGGGGCAGAGTAGGGTGGCGTGGCCCCGGGCCTCCTCTCTCCCCTGAGTCACTCCTCCTCCCCCGTCAAATGTGCATTTTATATTACGATCGAAGCTGCCAAATGACTCAGAAGGGATGGAAAGAGATGAGGGGAGGTAGGAGCAGCAGGGCTGTCGCCTGTTCTCGGTACTAATCTTGCTACGTGTGCGAAACTCGGTTCATTGAGATCTTGAGTCAAGAGGCTCAAAGGATGTTCGCCTGTGTGGCGGAGGCAGTAACTGGACCGAGTAGCCAAAGGATGTGGGATACCCTGCCTCCTCTCCCGGGTCGCGGAGAGAACTAGAGAGCGGGTGAGATGTGGGGCGCTGTCCGTGGTGCTGAAAGTTGTCTGTTGGGAGGTAAATACCAGGGAACTGGTGGGATCCCCGGGCTGGCCAGCTCTCCCTGCAACTGAGATATAATCACTGTGAAAGGGCGTCGTCCGCTGTTTAAGTAGAAAACAAGTGAGGCTCCATTGCCTTCTCAGTTCTCTGCTTCCCCAGACTTGTTCTGGGTGGACGAACAAGGCCCCCCTGAAATTCCAGGATGTGACTTGGTAACTGGATGATGCCTCACTCTGCCTGACGCAAGTCTTCCGGTCCATAAAGTGTTGAAAAAGCAGTTAGGGATGTTGTCCTGAAAAACACTTCTGTGGCTTTCAGGAACCAGAGAATTGTGAGGCTACAGGAAAACAAGTGAATTCATTAAAAGGGAGTTGGATTCACCTTGTTTGGGGTTATGACTTGTCTTTCCTCTGCGCCTTCCCTCACCACCACATGTTTACATCCCCCAAACATCAGTTTTATCAGAGTGTAGGTTTGTTTCTTTAACCAGCGTCTTGTGGGTAAGGTGAAAAAAGGAGTAAGGCAATTGGGGGATGTGCAAGTTAAGAGAATATTTGCCGAACAGTCATATTAGCAGACATAGTCTGCTAGACATTGTCATCTTGTTTAAACTTCATCAACGCTGAGCCATACCTATAACACAAATGAAAAAGCTGAGGTTGGGGGTTGGAGTCACATTTTCTGCTGCTTACCTCCATGCCCAAGTTGCTTTCATGTCTTGATCGTGTACTTGACTTTCAGCAGCTGTGATGAGGAGTGGGGATACAGCAGATAACGGGGAGGGGGGGCACTTTCCCTTTCTCACACTGCTCTCTCCTAATCCTTTCTTCTGTAATCTGTTTACCTACCCGCTGTCACTCACTCCCACCCTCCCAACTGTTTTATGCTTGCTACAACTGTTCACACAACTTGAGCTCCAAGTTTATAGAAACAGGTTGGAGGCTAAACCAGCAGGCTTTCCTGGAAGGACAAGAACTAGAACACTGAATCCAGAAACCCACATATGCCTTCATATTTAGACTTGTACTTAGAGTTAGAATGGTTGTGAATAGTCAGGACCATTGTTCGACAGAAAAGAGACTGGGAGCCTGGAGGAGTCACCCTTCTCAGTCACATAATTGAAAAGTTAGCATTTAAATCCTGAAAATGTGTTCCAGAGTCAGTAAGTACCCTTCCGACTAAGCCACGAGGCCTGAAAACTCAACCAAAATGCCACATACCCAGATACTTCTCCCATCACATCCTTCTCACCACCTCATTCATGGCATTCCTGTTGGCCGGGGACAGATGCTCCCTGTGGCTCACCAGCCTAGATGATATTAGCATCCTGATATACCACAAATGTCTAACATACAGACAGTCCTCTTGGCTACTGTTTCTCTGAGAATTTTCCTCTTCTGGTTCTACTATTCCAGTACTGTCTGCCTCTGAGTACCGGAGAGACAATCAGTCCTTCTCAGTGACATGTTTCCTATAAAGCATTCACAAACAGGGATGGTGCTGTGGCTGTCCACAGCATGCCTGTGTTGTCTAGATCACTCTGACCTCGTCCAACAACATAGTTTCCCTAAAACCGATCATTCCAAGCAGCTCCCCATGACTCCAAAGGAACTTGGAAGAGGGCTACAAAATAATCTAGGCATACATAAAGATCACTAGAAGTGCTAGTATCTATAAAATGCTTCCCGCAAGTTGGGCATGATGCTAAGTCCTTTCATCTATCATTTCTTGGGGTCTTCCCAGTTCTCCCAAGTACAGAGTTTCATCAGGGATGATCCTGAGATTACTGGTCATTCTGGCAGACTCTGACATCCCATTCACTTCTCCTTGCTTCTTTTTAACAGCCTGGAGTACAAGTTCATCTTCATTCATTGGATTCCTGTAGCCATAATGACTGCACTGGCAGAGCAGACATTTTTATTCTTCTCTCATATGTTACATCCCAACTGCAGTTTCCCCTCCCTCCCCTCCCCTCAGCCTTTCTCTCATCTCTCCTCTCCCCCAGATCCACATCCCCTCCATCTCCCCTCAGAAAAGAGCAGGCCTCCCAGGAACATCAACCAAACACATATATTCTACAATAAGACCAGAGACATACCATCACATAAACGCTGAATGAGGCAACTCAGTAGGAGGAAAAGGGTCCCATAAGTAGGCAAAAAGAGCAAATTCCCCCACTCCCACTGTTAGGAATCCCACAAGAACACCAAGCAACCCAGCCATAACATATATACAGAGTATCTAGGTCGGACCCCTACAGGCTCCCTGATCTGCGAGCCCTCACAAATTCCAGCCAACTGATTCTGTGAGCCATGTTCTTGTGGTGTTCCTGACCTCTTTAGTTGCTCCAATCCTTCCTCCCTTTCCTCTGCTTGACTCCCCAAGTTCTGCCTGATGTTTGGCTGTGGGATTATGCATCAGTTCCCATCAGTTGCTGGATGAAGTCTCTCTGCTCTCTTTGATGGGGATTCTGCTGGGCTCTGGTCCCAAAACACTCTGCAGGCAGGACAAAGTGTAGGTCAAAGGTTTTGTGACTGAGTTAGTGTCCCAATCCTTCCACTTGAGGCCTTGCCTGGTTACCGAAGATGGCCAGTTCAGACTTCTTGTCCCCATTAGGAGTCTTTGCTAGGGTTGCTCTTGTAGATTCCATGGAGTTTCCATTGCACTAGGTCTCCACCTCAAATGCCCCCCCCATTCCAGTCATTTCTCCCAGTTTTTTCTCCTCCCATCCCTCTTGTTCCCAACCTCACCTGCCCCAGAACACCCATGAAATCTATTCCATTTTCTCTTTCTGGGGAGATCCTTACATCCCCTCTTAAGCCCTCCTTATTACTTAGCCTTTCTGAGTCTGTGGACCATAGCATGATTACCTGTCACTTTATAACTGACATCCACTCACAAGTGAGTACATACCACATTTGTCTTTCTGGGTCTGTGGACCACAGCATGATTACCTTTCACTTTACAGCTAATATCCTCTTTATAAGTGAGTACATACCATGTTTCAGAGTAGACATTTTACACTGAATTGATAGTTCTATCTTGCTCTAAAACTTAGCTTAAAAATTCAAATTCAATCCAAGTGGCACTGAAATGCAGATGGGTTCATTAGCCCTTCCTTAGAGAGCCCCAGATGCCTTCTTAGTGCTATTGCCAACATTTTACTTCTGCCCCTTCTAGGCCCAGTTAAGGCATAACTCATATTACATTCATATTAAATAACTTCATAAGCCTAAAGATGCTATTGAAGGGGTATTCTGGGTCCTGTGAACCATGATCATAAACTGTCTGGAACCTCTCTATCCATAGTCACTAGCTACATAACCCATTTAAAGTCCAACTGTAACTAAAATATTTTGACACCAGTATCTCATATTTCAAGTGCTCAATAACCATCGGCGACAAATGACTACCTTATTGGAAAGGGCAGAACTTTTCCATCATCGCAGAGGGTTCTGTTGGACAACGCCACTTCCAAGAGTGGGGGAAAAACCCTCACAGCAACAAAGAACTAGGCATTGAAAAGAATTAAGGACTTAAGACTCTCTTTGAAGCTCCTGACAAGGAAGGAGACAAGCATACTTGTACCTCCTATGTCTCTAGCAGCCCAAAGATGGGCGGGGTGATCAGCAGCTAGCCAGGAGCTACATGTCTGCTCGAGTTGCTGGTAGCCTCAGCAGTCTGCTTGCCGTGGATTCTATGTGGGTTGATGGTTTGGTTTGGTTTGGTTTGGTTTGGTTTGGTTTTCTGAATTTCAACTTAGAAGTAACCTTACTCTTGTCTAGAATTCAAGTACAACAGCTTAGTAATGGGTGTCTACCTTATCTTAGCAAGTATCTTGTGATAAACATGGAAATAATAGATGTCTTGGAACCAATGGTAAGCATGCCAGTTGATGACATT